TGGACCGCTCATTCCCTATGCTTGAATATATATATTGCTGTCAACCAATTGTCAAGAACTTACTGCGCAGACAAGTGCAGACCCGATCGGACCAATTCTTGTTCTCTCACCGCTCTGCGAGCGGCAGCCAATAAGCAGTCCATGTATTATATATCTATGACTATATTACACATTCAAAAAGAATGTAATTTAAGGAATTAATTCAATATCTATCAGTCATTTACACTTAGGTGATATATATTTGGTGTGTGGCGTGGTTTTCGCCACAATATTCGGCGTTCAATTTATTTATCTCACAACAAAACACTCAATAATAATTTCGCTGGGCGTCAGCTGCATGTCGACGACCCTAAATTTAAACTCGCACACTTTCACGAAAAATCCAAAATCGCGCGGGTTCCCGGCCGTAATACGGTTACTTCGATACACCGCGGCCGCCACTCGCAAACGCCCTCGTAACCCTCGCGACTCGTAGTTCCCCTAATAATTGCGAATGTCCCTTATACTTATCACGACTTTCGCGTAGACCGATCTTTCAAACTCCCAATCAGGAATTCCCCTACTAATCGCGAATCTCTCGAAACATTAACTTACGGACTTTGCCCTGTGAACAATCCGACCGCTCGGGACTTATGTGGAGGTAGGGATGCACGGGTGAATTTTCCAAATTCCTCAATCCTTCCTCTCAATATCTTTCTTTCTTTCAAAATGGATACTGCTGGGTACACTACTTTTTATGCTCAAAAGATTATCCGTGGAATGCCGGTAGGTCCCGGCATGCACGCGGTGCCGGGTCCGCTTCGGCTGCATCTGGGGCACGGATTGGTCGCGTGACGTCACGGGCGGCACTCGGATCAACTCCGGCTCAGCGTCAGCCGACCAATACGGCTGCAGTCCCCGAAGCAGCGCTGCAGCGCCGGCTTCTGCCTCGCGGCGCATTACAGGGCCGCATCGGTGGCTCGAGACCCCTGCGCTCCACCAGGGCCGCTGGGCGAACCCTAAGGCGCTTGTCCTCCGAGGACCTCTTTAAACTTCCTCGAGCGTCCACCGTGCATTTCTCTGCCCCCACTGCCCGGATAGTGTCCGAAGTGGACGCAAGAATTTCTATAAGAGTCCCCCATTTTTGGGCGTTCGCTAGCGCCGGTCGCGGGCGTATAATTTGCGCTGTAGATAAATATGACGGGCAGGCAGTCACCCCATCCTTCACGAGAATGTGATCTCCCTTTAATGTGGGGGACTACCGACCCACCACATTACAGGTGATCGTTGATTGAATTTGACAATCAAGTCGAAGAGGTTAATTATAAAATTCTTACTTATAAACACACCTGTCTGTAAATTTAGATTAGTATTATGTTTGTACATTCTGTATCATTTGTATTGTACATGTAACATGTTTATATTTTTTTCCCTTATCACGTGTGTTACAAATTCCAAGCTTAATTCATATTGTTTGACAGGAATCTGCAATGTACAGTACGAGATAATACTGGGCAATATTGTGGACAAGACAAAGTGCAGCTACATAATTCCTACCGGCACGTGCATACATATATGAAGTACATATTTGAGATCAATGGCAGAACCTTAAGCTGATATTAATGTTGGTCCTTGGGAGATGTTGACGTCAAAAATGAAGTAAGTTGTGAGGTAGAACTTACCTAAAATCATATAAAATAAATAAGTACTTCAAAATCAAAGTTTGTTATTAAAACAAATTGTATCGAATCAGTAGACATTTTATATATGGATAGATACTTTTTGACATATAAATAAAAAAATGTTAGGTTCTACTAATATTATTGATACTAACTGATATTAATTTGTATCATTATATTAGCATATTACATTACACACAATGATACACCACGAAAACACTTCTATATAAGCTTATTGTATCATTTTGTTAAAAAAAAAATCGTTTCATATTTCACCTACAAAAGTAATAAGATTAGATATTGGTAACAAGTTTAGGAGCACTTTTAATCCACAACTTACCTATTAACATAGCCAAATCAGTTACCGCGTGACAAGTCCAAATGAAGTTTCAATAAATAAAAATGTTTAAAACTTTGAGCAGTCAATAGCAACAGTCAATCAAGTCCTGGAGAATCCTAAGAAAATATATTAAATGGTGCTCTCGCTGTTGAACGTCTTCTTCGCTTTATGGCCTTCTCTCGATTCTACAGGTTAATTTTAGATAATTTAAGGGGTTGCAAACTGCAATACCGAACTTGCCATCATTTTCTACACTGTTCTACACGCTTTTTCACACTTCTAGATGAGAAACTCCCCTTTCATTCGCTGTTTTCTTAGATTTCCGCGGCACCGCCTAGCGTCGGTTACACTTCAACAGATTGTTCATTATAACGGGACTCCTCTATTTATTGGGCTATTTCCACATTTTTTAGACGATACAATTGTTTATGATGTGTCTTGTGTATTTATTTACCGAGCTACCGTAATTTTGAGATTACAGCAGAGAGACGATGACAGCAGCCGGGGGGCGCGGCTGTCAAACTTCTTATGACACGAGCACCGTTATTCCTGCGGATGTCTATGGCACCCGATGCGTCGTTTCAAAGACAGGACGAAGGATGAAGCGCCATCACTGATTCAAACCAATCACTCGATTCTTCGTTTCAGGAATGCGATAAGTGATATATCACCATCTCCCAGTTACACGAAGTACTTGATGCAACGAACTGTAGCCCCATTTATGAATTGTATTAAGAGTTCGCTGCGTTATTTTAGGAACGCAATAAAACCAACACGGCATCCGCAGAAATGAAACATGTTTGTAATGAGAAAATGCTGTAACCAGTACGCTAAATAGCCTAAAATTCCATTTAAAATATGCCAATAATAGTACAGTATATTAAGGCGAAGTGAAAAACGTCGAGCAATTCTTTCGTCGCCGTCGGTATAGTAGTTAGGTAATAGAGCGTCATCTACCAGTACTAGGCGGCTAGTAGGGATACTGTTAACGCCACGAAAAGGTGTGCTGTAATTTCAAGAAGCGCAACTGTATGATAGTAATTACTAACAGAGATGAGTTGGGAGATTGCTCACGGGCAGGGTCGCGCGAACGCATCGTGTGCTGCCCTCTGGTTTCGTACGTTAGCTTTCACCGTTTTTTGCCCCCAAGGGCGGCGCAACGAATTTCTGGTAGGGGCCAACTCATCTCTGCCAAATCAGAGATGAGTTGAGAGATTCACGGGAAGGATCGAGCGACCTCCGGTTGAGGATGCAGACGGCTAATGCACTTGCCACCTGTTCCAACTCTGAGCAGCCGGAGAACCGGCTGAAAAAGTGAAGAACTCCTCACAAAAACTCCAAAACCCTGTATCTCCTTCGAAACAAATCGCAACCAATAGCTCGAGAGATCAATTTAAACCGCACAACCTTCCCCATCAAGCTACCGTGGACGCAATTCGCATCGCGAAAAAAATTCACAAACATCCTTTAACATATTTTAACATCTACCAACAAGTGCAGCAAGCTCGATTTCGATTAACAGCCCATGATGATTTTACCAAAAATGGCTGCTTCCAGGTGATCCACCTAAACCTGCAAAGGGGCACAAAAGTACAGGTAAAACGGAACATTGAAGAAACACCAGGAAGTCGCCAGATTTTCCGAAGTGGCCCACCTAAAGCTGAAAGGGACACACAAAGGCACAAACGAAACCATTGGGAAAGCGAGAAAGAGACGGTGATACAAGAGCTAATAATTTACTAAAGTTACCATTAAAGTCAAGAATATTTCGCAGGGCATTGATCTCGTATAATTGACCCAGTAAATATGTATTCAATTATACATTACATGGCGTGACAAAAATCTAATATATTTATCTTACTTAAATGCAGACTCGAGAAAATTTCATGAAAACGCTAGTTCACCGTCTCCCCCCGTCAATCCAGACAGAAGAATATACAAAAAATGAGAGGGACAACGTGGCGAAAAAAATGGATGACTGCCCATTCGNCCTGCAAACCCTGAAACCGACCCCCTCGTCGAGGCGGCGACTCTAGGACGCAGGCACATCGAAGTGCCCCCTCGACTCGGGTGTGGCTCCTCGCGAGTCTTTTCTGACCCGAGTTGAGGGGGCACTTCGATGTGCCTGCGTCCTAGAGTCGCCGCCTCGACGAGGGGGTCAGTTTCAGGGTTTGCAGGTTACGAAACCAGAGGGCAGCACACGATGCGTTCGCGCGACCTTGCCTGTGAGCTATCTCCCAACTCATCTCTGTTACTAATAGGCCGATGTACATAGAATATGGTCCAAAAGAAATTTTGGAGTAATGTTGACAACTGTCGAAATTAAACATGTACATTTGAATTTTTATCCCGTGCGATAAATGCAAGTATTCGCAAGGATACATTTATCCGCGTTGAGCTGCGTTACTAGTTCGATACATAATAAGAGAGTTGTAACATTTTGTTTAACTGTTAAGTAACAATTATAGCATGCCTCGAAATTAAATTAGAAAGAAATCGTAGGACAGGACCTGTCAGTGTGAGGCAAATTCATACAGCAAGCGAATTTATAGAAAAGAGGCGTACAATCAGTAAAGCTTGGAAGATAAAACTGCATGTACTTGACTCGAATGACTGTATTAATGGGCAAATAATACAGGGTGTCCCACAATAGATAATTAATCTTTTAAGGGGAGAAAGAGGGTGAAGTTGTGAGCTAGAAGTTCCTTTTCTATTTTTGACTACCAAATATGTCAGTTGTCATTGTACCAGACAAAATCGTCTCAAAGGAAAAACCAGACCATTTTTTTTTATAACACTTAACAATACATGTTTAAATTTAATCACAAATGATAACTACATTAATATTTCTGTTTAACATTAATTTGGTGAACTAAGTGTTTGGATTTAAAAAGCACAAACAAAAATAATTCATTATAGACTTGAAATTGCAATGACACCGACTGCATCATTGCATTGTGTGCAAAGTATGTTTAAGCAGAATAGGATAAATAATGAGAGAATTATGCAGCAGCGTATATTTAATTACCATTATATAATACATAATATGTCAATATAAAATGTTACTGCGTTGGTCCCTAACTATCTAGGAAGGTATATAATTACAACAAACTTAAAAAAATAAAATGGCACTACATTATTTGTTTGTCATTATAAACAAATTACCTAATATAGACTGTGTGCAAGTGAACGAATGTGCATGTCGTATATATTACATTTGTAACGATTCATAACAAAGGTGTAGTTTTATTAAGCAGACTAGTAGGTAAATGTTTTACATTTAAGATTTCTTAATCATTTGCAGATTGTTTTTCTTTTTCGAGTTCATCGTTCATATGCCGCACTTATACCACCGTTAATACGTACAATAGATTAATTCGAATAAATAACGCTAAAAATACTTTCTTTGGTACAGTAATAAAACATGATTTCTTAGATACATATTTTTCGTTTTGTCAATGGAGTATTGTCAGTAAAAAATTTTACATTATTTGGAGAACGTTGGTTTTCTAATATAGGAAGTTCGGAAACCATTTAACAATCGGTTTGCTTGATATGTTGGAAGTGTCATTCTCAAATAGAATAAAAGAAGCCATATTTATTTCAAATGCATCTCAAGTATCTACGATGATTAGAGTGTAATGCATTACAATTTTATTGTCAATATGCACTTTGGAAATTTATTTACCTAGTTTTTCTGAAAAGGCTTCTCATTTACAATTCGTAGAAAAAGTACAAGATAAACGGCGACGAAATAAATATTAATGAAGTGTATTATTGCCTACGATTTAAGAAATATCTTAAATAGACGTCATAATGTACACAAAAGTCTACGTGTCATGAAAAATAGAATGCAAGAGTTTAAAAATTTGCCCAAGCATTGTTAATGATAATCTTTTTACTTCATGTAGTAATTTTAGTTATACATTTGAAAGCTTTACGATTCAAGTATTGTGTTTATTTCTGATATGACAGGAACACATACTGAGCAAAAATTAGTTTTTAGGCCGTCTTCAATGTATAGATCTATGGTACTTTGAATTAAGCAATTATTATTATTATTATACTTTCCTGATAAAATTAGTATAAATCATGTTACTATTTATACCTGAATAAAATGAACATTGTTGCCATAGTTTCAGATATCATTAGAAATATTAATATTATAGTAGTCTTGATTAGATTCAAGCTAGTTTAGAAACAAATATGAAATCTCGAATTCTACAGTGGCTTGTTCCGTTTAAATTCGTCCTGACATTCTACATTCTCAAGTGTATAAATGCCCTAAAACTAAAATTTGGTTTAGTTTAAATAAAACTCTTTTGCATATAAACCATACCAAAATTAATGTGCATTTGAACATATGTCGATCCGGTTCAAGACAAAGCCAAATAAAACCTTTGGCCAACAACTTTCATCCGACCGTACAATCGACTAGACATTTAAAACCACGTTATATTAACTATTTACTTGAATTGACATATTTAACAAATAAATAATGTAAATGAGTGTGTAATGTGGTATAGCAATGACGATATCATTGAAAAGCCATTTCATACTGCAAATGCGCACTGTACTATAGTGAATGTATATGTATAATGTAAATTACTGTATAAAAATGAAATATATTCACACCCTTGATGGCAGAAGCATCTTTCATTGTTCATGCGTCGGACTGTATTATAGTCCGTACATATGTGGTCGAAAAGTGTTGTAAAAGTATATGGCGAAACATATTCACGCTTTATATAGTATAAATCCAAATATATGAATTGCAAGAAATAAAGTAGTTTGGTGGATGTATTTAAAGAAAAGGGATGCTTCTCCCATTACTTCATGCATGTATTTGAATGAAATCGAAGGTAAAAAGAAAATGGTATATAAGTTAGCACAAAAGATGTTCATTTTTAGCGCCTGCCAAAAAACTATTTTCTGATCTGTTAATCAGAAATTTTGGGCGTTTCGGATTATAACATTGCATTTGTCTTCGCCAATGTGTACGGTATAACAAAGATCTTTGTTAATAAATTACATATTTGCATGATAAGGTGGAAAATTTATCCGCAGCAATATAAATCTTGTAACTTTAAATTGCTAGTATTAACACCATTGTGTCAAAATGTACAGAATGTACAGATGCACAACAACCTTTAGACATTCTCAACGTAGGATTAAACACGCATCTCTGCAGCAAGATCTGTACTATATTGCAAGATTTGTGTCAGATTTTTGTCAAATGAAGTCAAATTTACGAAAATCTTGCAATGTGGTACATGCCACGAACATGTCACGAACCTTTCATATATCGGGGATGATAATTGTATCTAAAAGCATAAATTAAAATCGATGTAAATGTTGTCAATAATACCTCATAAAATGGCATAGACCATTCGGGAACATAATAAGATGACGGACATTTACTTACGTTAGTAGAAGAGCAAATTCAATTTCGGTTACAGTCAAAGTTTAGTTTGAATTTCGGCAATAAATTATTTTCAATGAGAAAGTAATATAGGAGAGGGTGATTATAAATAATTGTATGTGTACGATCATCATGTGGCCGATGAGTCACGACTTCGATCGGTTAGATCACCTGCCGGAAGAAAAACATCCTCCGTGGTGTGCATCGGCCTTTTAGGTTTCGGAGGCGGTGTTGGTGGTTTGCTTTGGTTACCGTCAGATGGAGTTGGTAGTTTACTCTTTGCTGGGTGACACAGGAGTCTATTTATGTTGCTCAGGATGTTCATTTGGCCATGATGAGCTTGATCATCATCTGGGAGATTACAATAATCTGCTTCGCGCGTTTTGATTGGCAGAGGTGGTGGAGGATCTTCTTCGGAGGTAGCGCTGTCGGTTGTTCCAATACTATCTCTATTTCCCTTAGATAGACTGGTAGGTTCCAATCCGTTATTTGAAATCCTTGGATAATATTGTGTTTGGCCGGACCATCGAGTACTTATTCTCCGCTCTTTTTCCGCTTCCGATCTTAGAGGACGTTTAGGAGTTAACTACAAGTTGGAAAATTAGAAAAGTTTTAATTCCGTCTTCTTCTCGCCATGTTGTTTGCTACATGCACGAGAATTACAGGCAAAAGCAGAACTCGACATAAAAAATGCTTAATTCGAAATGGAACAAAAAAAAAAAGATTTTTCAATAACACTGCTGACATCTTGATATCCCAAATGAAAAAAAATTAAGTAAATAGCTTTGTTTGAAAAAAAAAAGTATAGTATTTGGGCATTTGGAAACCGCCAATGTGTTTACCGATGGATATATTATAATATAATAAGCTTATAAGGAATACTCTTCAATATGTGTTATCCAAAGATAACATTTTACGTAATGTCAAAACATTCCGCTTAACTAAAAAATATCGGTGGATGCGCACACAGAAACGTATACTCTGCCTCTTACTTAAAAAAAATATAAAACTAACGCGCACCGACACAGCCATGGAAAAAGCGCCATTAGTAAAACAAATTTAAAGCGATCGTGACTAAATTTCCCTTAGTTCGTTTATGATTTCATGATATCGAGAACATACGATAAGATGCTAAATACTGTCAACATCAAATAAAAAACAGATAAGTAAAAATATTGGTTCAACAAGTTAATGACTAAATTTCAGTACGTGTAACTTGTAGAAAGAATTACAAGACAGTTTATGCAATGCAAACTACTTATGATGACATAAAACTGAAAGGTAAGCAAATTAAAGCATTTCTTATCCAATAATGTTCACAAAAGTACATTGACACTGCATTACGAACATTTAAGAGAAACATAGAAATTTTACGGAAGTTGGCAAACCTATTTAAGTTTCTATGTCAATAATAATTGAGAAAATTCTGTGAAAATATGTATATTCCATTGTTCAATAGTTTTATAATGTGCGTTGCAACTTATAATTGGCCAATCGGATAACACTAAGAGGCCAATTTTTCCGTATATTCAAGCCAACGATAATTACAAAATAACCGGTTTCTGTTTACTGAGACGTCAGCAATAACGTTGAAGGTTTTTCCTGTGAAATAATCTATTCTAAAACTGATGTTTCTTTCATGTATTATAATACAGATAAGATTTATTTAAGGAATCACCTTTATAAGAACACTTACTTCTTGTCTCAATTCAAATATATGTGTCGCAGAAAGACTCGTTGTCGGTGAAGTATCGGTCATGATAGTGTTCTGCATCACGTCAGATGTCGTGTACCACTGACTCTTTGGTTGGTCGTTTTTATTTGCCGCGGTTGTATCGCTTTTACGTGAACTCCTTTTAGAGTCCTTTTTCTTATTTGTACCCGGGCTGGAACTTCCGAGTGCTTTCTGTATAGATGCCGAAGACAAAATGTGGGATCGCACGGAGTTATTTCTGTTAATGAATAAATCGTTAAAGTCAAAACGTTCTTTGCATTAAACGCATAGGTCCTTACCCATATCTCACTTTTAGCAGCGCTTTCAAGCGTCTTTTAGTTAAAGGTGATCGGACCGCTGGTAAAAGACGCCATACTCATACCTTATTTTATGACCGCTTTTAGTTAAAAGGCCACTTTTATGAAATGTAATATGATAACGTCGGAAAAACGTGACGACTGCGCTTCGCGTGCGTTTTTTGTACGCCAAAAATTCAGAGTCTGCTGAACTTTGCCGCAAAAATGGAAGCGAGTTTGACGGAATAAAGCCGGAAACAAAGCCCAATTTCTTGGTCAACCAAGAACGATATGAATTCGACTTTAAAAGTCCTTGGCATTTTTTGATGCCCTGTATTCACTTCGTGAGCTTTTGTTCTGCTAAAAATGTCGTCAATGCATTCCATTTTTCATGTACGAATTTGACAATTAAAAGCTGTCAAAAATTGATGTATGATTTTGACAGCTAAAAGCGGCTTAAAAGTCCCCCTCCCCACTTTTAGGGAATCGTCGCTCACTTTTATCCTAAAAGCGCTCAGAATGAAGCTTAAAAACCCCCTTTTGTATGAGACGGTATTGCTGTTAAAATACGTCTTTTAAGGATTTTCTATAAAAGTGGTTTAAAAGCGAGACACGAGGAGGATCGCTTTAACAGTGCTCTAAAATACATCTTTTAACGCTAAAAGTGAGATATGAGTAAGGACAATAGACATCATAGATATAAACGTACTCTGTGCTTACTGCACTGGCTTCTGATAAACGATGGCTCTCGCCTCTAGTAGGTTGATTTCTGCGCATCGTAACCGTATGAGTAATATTCTCAAGCTTCAGGTCACAAGTCTGTAATTAAGACAAATAGAAACATGAAAATATAATTTTCAAAAAATTAACAGGTTAATTAGAAATGAACTATTGACTTTTAGTGATCTTCATAAAAACCTGACAGTTTAGTCATAAAATGGAGAAATAATGTAAATGTAATGCAAAAAATAAGAGACGTCAGCTGTTTCTTTGTTTTGTAATTCAATGATCATTGTACGGTAAATAAATAATTAAAAAATGTTGAAAGATACAGAAGAATTAAACCTTTTATCACGTTTAACTATCCTTTATCCCAAATTATAGAAACTATTTACATAAAATGTTCGGTACGTGAATGGATTCAACACAAATGCTCTTAGATGGATTGAACGACCGAATTAGGAACGTATCGAAATAATTTCTAATTACTCGTTTTCCGTAATAGATTCCTTTAGATTTTAGTTGTGTGAAATACTATTGCGAATCCGATTTATTTAATTTCAGTCTATCTCTGTCCTAACTTGCATACAATTACATGATTAGAACTGCTTATTTATACAGCTTATCAGTTCGCAATTAAGCAGTAAAGGAACAGAGGTGATTAAAAAAATTGAAAAAATTCACGACGATAATTTTAATGTACTAAAAATTACTTACTCTTTTACCGTATTTTGATTCTATTTGGATGCGCATAGATGCAAAACAATGTTCCAACCGTTGTTGGAATGGAGCAAGTTCGAGGGGTGCCCTCGCTTTATGTAGTTGCACTCCAATTTCTAAAAGAGGTATTTGTGAAGCAATCAGACCTTCCAATTTCAAAAGATCAGCGCTTTCGTGTAGGTGCGTTTCTCGATAATCGGGATTTAAAAAAGCTTTTTCATAATTATCTACTCCTCCCATTACAGCTGGATCCAGAATACCATTCAGCTTTAGACTCAAGGGGTTCAAAGGAAGATTGGGATCCGCTCTAAATATCAAACATGAATATAAAGAATTAATATTATAACATTTTTGTATAATTTGCATATATTGGGAGTTCCGCTACGTATAATACATTTAAATCGTATGCAGATTATTCATAATGTTTTAGATACGATTTTAGTTGCATATTATATTTTTGTGCGAACCCACAATTGGAGATTTTACCAATGTAATAAAAATGATTTACCTGTGAGCAATGATGAGGTCTCGGAGTACCGTATTAGTGGCTTCCATCGTTTCGATAGCGTTCCGCAAAGGACTAACTAAATAAGTTTCACTCGATGTAACTGGAAACCACCTTAAAATTCCAGGCAGAGGATGACTCGTTACAAGCACTGTCCTTTCTAACCACAATGAGGCGAATTCATTACTGTTACTCTCTTGGATTTCCTTATCTTTATCTCCAGTCCGCACCGTTGTTAATTCTTTTTTCGGAGCTGGGCGTGAAAATCGAAATCGTTGGACGTCATTAACGCGGTGGTACCTGAAGTAATTTTAATAAATTAAAATTCTTAACCAACCGGTAAAGCATTCGCCAAATGACGTAAGAAGTTAAAGTAGTTTAAAGAGTAAGGAATACGGGAATCGTTATAACCCCGTGAAGGATACAATACTTAAATCCAACTCTGTTAAAAAAGAGTAAATCTAGGAGGTATACCTCAAAACTGCTTCTGCAATGACCGGTTTTCCACTTAAACGATGCTTCTTTTCATCCATTAACGGATCTACTTTGTTAATTTGTACATACTGGCAATTAGATTCCAGAATATCTTCGCTAGGTGGAGATAATTTACTCATTTGTTCGGCATTAGGTAACTGGTTCAGCGTTCTCGAACAAAAATCACTGAGCCTTTCGTATTCTTTGCCCCGATAAATGAATACCTGCAAGAAAGGTTTTTGAATCACACAAGGAACCGTAGTTAGAATGTGTAAAGGAGATGGGCTACATAATCACAGAGGTGTATAAAAAGTAAAGTAATGTCATACTTTGTTCTGCAAGAACGGTGGATGACCTCGTCCGTAATATGCTACTCTGAAGTATTCTGGTTCAGGTCTTAACTGTTTTACTATGCAGTCGTAAAATTTGGCCATTCGTCTTAGCAGTAAAGACAGTTGAGCGTAATCGAAGGTTTCTTCTTCATACTGTGCTGCTAACTCCTTGCAAACTCCAAGCGCACATTCCCACATTTTTCCTTTGTCAAAATATTCGATCATGTCATTGTACAGAGCTTCTTTTAGTTGGCGGTGAGTCTGACACAGTGGATATCTTCAATTATAAGAATTATATTGTATATTAGTCATCAGTTCTCGATAATTCCGCAGCAATACGTAGTACGTCGTACGAACTTTTATATGTTTTAAATACACTACTACAAATTGAGATAACATATTTACACGTCCGTACCATTCGGTGGTAAAATAAAACGTCTTACCTGTTAGATCTCAACAAAGGAGGCAAATGCTGATCACTCCATGATAACAGTTGACTGTGTAATTTTAACGAGTAAGCAGCTTCTGTATAGTTATCACACTCCAAATGTAGTTCGCACAATTTGTTCACATATCTAATTACAGGAATATAAAACAAAAAATTAATTATGATTGTGTTTATGCCGGCGTCACGCAGTGAAAAGTAATAATTTATATATAAATGTTTCATCGATTGCCAAAACAGTAATATGAGATTCGATATGGTCCACAGTTTGTAATGAAGAATTTTTGCAATGCAAATGTAATTTCTGTCGAAACAATTGGATCACTTGTAAAAAGCTTTGTCGGAATTAAAGTAGTTCCTATAATAACGCAGTGGGTTACACGATTGGAAAGTACACGAATATCATTAAATGTATAGTTCTCTACGTGATTGATTTGAAATGTGTTCTTGTTCTTGGGTAGTTCCCTCTTATGGGGTTGAGGGTCATCCTGATTGGCCGATTCGGCCTGTCTGATGAAGCGAACTGCAACGTTTGCGAAACGTCGGCCCTCTGGCGACAATGGACGCGGATCATCAGCAAGCCACAACAAATTTAAGGAACAACTCTGACCGCGGAGGCTTAAAATCTTTATTCAATTTAGCGTTTCATCGGTTAGGAATAGTATTTAAAAAAAATTAGTATGGGATGTTAGAACGAAGATAATATTAACGTACCTGATGTACATTTCTTTCCTGTTTATCTCAGAATAGAACTCTAACAAGTTAACCGTGCAGAGCATTCGATGTTCCTGAGATTCGGCATGAACAATGTCTCGATATTGTAGCAGACGTTCCATTAATTTAGCCACGGTTTCTACGAATCGTAAACCTTGTTCTCGCATTGTCGAATGTTTTTCACAAAGGGAACTCATTACTTGCACCCAGAGATTACGAAATTGTTCGTCTCCCTTTCCTCCTTCGACCTAGTGAAAACGTACATTATAGTATAATGTATCAGAGCGTATATTTGTACAACTCTACATAATGTTGCGAGGGAAAGGCATACTGCGGGAAGAAAAAGAAAAAAGAAAAAAAAACAGCAAAACAATATGATTTAGAGTAAACAATTAACTGTTGATATAAAAATGGTGTCTTTCAAAACAAAATAATAAATTTATAGTGATAAATCTTATCATGTAGAAGTACAGTAAATTCCCTACTACGTTGCAAAGTAACTATCATTGAAAGCTAATATTCAATGCTGTCTGGGTATTAGTAATGATTAAAAGACACATATGTTGTATCAATAGGCATAAGGGAAATATTGGAAACACCTCCATAGTTACTTGTATTTTCATGCTTAAGAGGATGCTGATGTCGATTAGAATGATCGAATTGATCTAAGCGTCATTTGGGTAACGAAATAAAAATAGGCAGGAGCATTACCGTGTGCCGTGTCGCTAGTGACATTTAGGATGGTAACAGAATCTGTACATTTTAACACTATTTCTACCAAAGGTGTCAAAAGACACCTTTTAAAATTTTAACTTGAAATTATTTTCAAAGTTTAATAATTTTTTCTCAATAAATGTTTTGAGTTTTCGTATAATAATTGTTAAATTTATTTAGCGGTATCATTTTCCTCCAGCTCATCAAAACCTTTGGTCGAAATAGGTATACACAAAATTGTGGTAGAAATAGTGTTAATTGTTTTTCTTGATTTCAGTATGATTTGCATGATAATTCCATTAATCTGTTAGTTATTTATTATTTTGGAAAAGCATTTTTCATTTTTTCAAAGAAAAATTCCCTTTTTTTGTGAACTTGTAAATCGTCTTTTAACCGGTATTAGTAGGAAGGTTCAGCATCCTCTTAACATGATTCCTCTATGTTTTACTTGACCTAACGATTAAAAAAAACATTATACTACTGAGAGTTCTTGAAACGATGAATTTTAAATTGTTTTATATAATTTGTAACAAGGTTTCCACCGGAATGAGCCGATATTTATTTGTAAACTAAAACAATTTACCAAAATGTCCAGCTTTGCAATCATCTCGTTTTCGTAATCAATGAAATTAGCTTTAATATAGGCAGGATCTCTCTTTGTATCTCCATATCCTTCGGCGATTCTTGAGCTATAAAATTCGCACTGCATCATGTCAAAGAATATAGGAATGGTAGCTTTTCTTAGTTCCGTTTCTGGTATCAAAGCCATTTCCAAAATGGAACCAACTAAGGAAGGCACAAACAAGATTTTATATTGGCCTAAGTTGAACCACATCGATCGTATTTCGAAAGCAGTTTCCCTGTGAATTAGAAAAGCGAAAGTTTGTTAATATGTTATACCAGAGACGAGTGAGATGTTTCACGCCATTGTCGAAAGGGAGGCACGGCTCCCTAGCTCCGTGAAACTGTTTTGAGAGGGGCGAAATGTTTTCCATCGGTAAAGAAAAACGCGTCTGCAGATTTCAAATACGGCACAGTATCGATAGAATGAAGTTATCGCCTTTTCGCTTTTAGTATCAGGGTCAACGTAGGTTGGGAAAGAAGACTACGAATACCAAATAAAGTTATTATGCGTGGATAATTGAGATTACGACGCGGCACCCACGTATACCCCGTTGCATCGAACACGAAGAGATTTCGTCCCTTTGAAAGTAGTTCCAATTTTTACAGAGGTGTAAAGGGCGTAGAGGGCGCCAGGGAGCCATTCCTCCCTTTCAAACACTCATCTTTGCTTATACATACAAGGATGTATTTTTATCGTTATTGCTATTATATACACAATGTTGACAATAAGTTGTTGGTCTCATATTATTTAAAGTATTCATCACGAATAGTCAAACTAAAAAATTCTTTTGGAAATCATTTAATCGGATAATAATTCTGATATATTTATCGTTAATGCGGACAAATCACGATATGTAGTAAAATTGCACACAAGGAGGATCGACCATTTAGAATTGCAACGTAATTAATTTCGTTATAAATGTTTTACGAGAACATGGCCTCACCATCAGAAATGTAATTAGAAAAGACAGGTTCACATATCCAATTTGTTGAAATAATTCGATAATATTAAACCACTGTGTAAATATATAAGATTAAATACCTGCGCATGTCACTGTATCGCGCGACGATCCGATTACGTTTCGCAGGACTAAATGTTTCCAACTGAAGTGCCGGTTGCGTTAAAAAGGCTATTGCACCGTGAAAGAAATTGGACCAAGCTTGTTGTTCGAAATTCGAAAAGAAATGTTCCACGATAGTCCCTGAGAAATAACGGAGCGACTTCAAAATAACGCTGTTTTGAAGCATGATCATTTCGCACCAGTCATTGGGGAAGACACTTCGAGAAACAAGGTCCTTGAAAACTAACAGAATCTCCATCAAGAAGTCAAGCAAGTCAAATTCCGTACCGAAATGATTAATGTATATTTCGTAGTGTTGTTGGGTCATTTGTCTGAAAGAAATCGGAGTGGTTTAAGGCATTTTTTGTATACTCAGCTAAGAAGGTTTGTATATTCAAAGAATACGATCATTGTGAAAGTAAAGTTGCTGAGTACGTTCGATAAGGTTGTGCTATGATCGTAGAATCTCAGAAAGCTGGGATAATAGAGCAAAGTTTGATCACGTATTCATTATGGAATGGAAAAATATCCGAACGTCTTTCTTAAGGTGATGTGAAAGTGGCGTCAAAGAGGTATCGTTTATGAAACTTTTCTCCAAACTGGGTGTACCGAATCGTTTCAAACTTGACAATGTTAATATGAAGGCTATAAAGAAGGTCTTGAAACCCATGAAATTTCAATTGTAAGATAATTTCTTTATAGATATTTTCAACAGTTCAAATAACGAATGAAATTTCACGAGTTTCTGAACCTAGCTTAGGCTCTCCTTATTCACGTGGTAAAATTGGAGAAAAATTGGTACACCCAATTCGGAGAAAAATTTCACGAACGATTGACCCCTAAAATGCCACTTTCACATCCCCTTAATGCATTGCATATATTCGTAAAAAATGATTATATAAAAAGTATGGGATGTTATTTTGATACTATCCATTGTTAATCGGTTGAGAAAAGAATTTTTGAATACAGAATGTAATTAAATTTCATCTGTAACAAAAAAGAACTAAGCAACTTCAAATACTTTCACATACGCCGTAAGGCTCACATACCTGAATATTGCCAGCATCACGGATACTAAATTTCCTACTAGAGGGTTTTCTCTATCCATCGATATGACAGTCTGTATGACAGTTCTGAGTGCTGTTAACATGATTTCCTTCACATCCGAAACTGTGCAGCCGACGTCCTTTCTAAATGTCAATTTGAGAATATCCGACAGGATTTTAACGCAAAGTTCCACCTAGAAATGTTAAATCAGATATCCTTGTTAAATTATGTTATATGCAGCAATACTTAAACAAAAAAGCCATGATTCAACACGTGTGACGTTTAACGTCAACTAATTCCGTTTTAATGATCACAAATTTCAGATTTTCGGTGATGGTGGCCTAAAACTATAATTTTCTATATGGGTTGAATGAACGTTTCTGAATTTGTTACAATGAGTTATGACATTTATGTTATAAACCTTGTTCCACTGGTATGGGATATATGGTCAAAGTATTTACAGATTTACATTTCGTTGCTTAATTATACTTTTTTACACGTTCATAGCAACAGAAGCTCGATGATGCAAAGGTGAAGTATCCACAGAAAAATTATTAATATTTAAAATGTATTTTCCGATATTTCTACGAAGGATTATCTTAATTAATTATGTGTTAGAGACTTAACATTAAAAGCGTTTTTTACACAGATTCTATTTTTTGCAGTAAGCATATAAAATGATATTCTGTCATGAGCTAACCGAAAGCATCTAAAAAAATTCCCATCAACTCCGAATCTTTGCAGAAATTAAATTTAAATTCCTTCGGAAAAAGTAATTCTGAAGAGTATAAACATTAAAGGCCTGGTTCATAACGTAAGGCATACTTAAACGAAATACTGGTTTTGGATGCATTAATTAAACTTATATTCTTCAGGAAATCATTGTAAGTAATATTGAGTAATAAACGTTAAACAAGTTGCATTATACTATACATATCAATCGTGACCACTTCTTTTTATACTCCAATGGGCCAACGCCGCCATTTGTGACGTTTAGCTGCAACTCAATTTTTGTTTTAAAAACATGTGTTATCCACGGAACAAGACAGCATTCTCTTGCAATCGTTGGTGACGGTATTCGAAAACATGCATGGGCCACGCCATGATGGTCCGAGTCCAAAATAAATTTTTTATAAAAAAAATGCAATTTCATGAGTTCCAGGACATACCTTAGGACCTCCACATTTACGGGGTAAAATTTAAAACAAATCGGTACACCCAATCATGAAAATACTTTCACGAACGATTTAACCTTTCAGATATAGAAGAATCCTTCATATCATGAAGTGACACCCCCCTCAAATCGGTCGATTCGAAGACACTTTTTGTGTCGGATAAACATCAGTTTAATCCAATCAACATCCGCGCCATCAGGGGACCGATGAATCAAAGTCACCTGACCAATTGTGCCGTTAACAACATAAAGTAACATCAATGTTTCTTCAAATCATAACCTCCGCTTTTAATTCAATAACTATAATTTTAGAAAAGCCTGCTGTTAGGGAATTATTTTCATCATTTTTGGTTAATATCGTGGAAATCTCTTTTTTAAAAATAAGCAGAACAATCAGCCGTCCCTTGCCGCCATCTTGAGCAATTAGTAATACTTCTTCCGTCGATATTTGTTGCAACATTGCAGTGTTTAAAACCTCGCACGTTTACCGGTTGAACAGTGAGAAAACAGCATCTCTTTTTTAAAAATAAGCAGAACAATCAGCCGTCCCTTGCCGCCATCTTGAGCAATTAGTAATACTTCTTCCGTCGATATTTGTTGCAACATTGCAGTGTTTAAAACCTCGCACGTTTACCGGTTGAACAGTGAGAAAACAGCATCAGAAGACAACTAATCCGAGTACGTAAGTTCCGTTAATCCAAATCCAGCAGTTCATGACTTGAAATTGATTCGTGTAGATTCCGAAGTTTTTGAATGATTATCCGTTACGATACCGGTGCGGAGTCGCGAAAGTAAATCACGAAACTAATATCATTTTGTTGGCGCATGCTGATTATTAATGCATTATATCTGAACAAAGTAGTCTATAGATTAATCGCTTCTTGGAGAAGGAACCTTGTTTAGCTTGGTCTTTATTGTACGGGTACAAATGCCGGTATTTTATATATAGGAGGAAGAAGTAAATCTCCAAATAGAAGAATATACTTTCCACCGAACCAACCATTATCGAAATCAATTGTGTCAAACATTTCGCTTAACCGAAGACGTATGTACATTAGTGCAATATTCGAAATCATGGAAGCCCCATCGATGATGAATATAATGGCTTCCTTCAAATCGCTCCTAAACGTTTTTAAAACCACATCTGACGATGCAAGAAAGTTATATATTTCCTAAAACAACTCTGTTAATGACGAGTAATCGATACATTGCCATTGAGTCAATATTCATCGATTATTCGTTTCTGACTTAGGCTTCAATATTTACGGTTTGTACATATATGGATTTTCATCATTATTTTTACCCGATTCCTTTGTTACCGTAATAAGAACTCAGATATATTTAATCGAGGAAGCGAAGGATCTCTTTCCTTCGACATTATTTACCTTGCTATGAGGCACCGATGATGGTGAAAATCATGTAATATAAATTAGATAACATTCTCGATTAAACATCAAGCATCTTTTTGTCGGTCATCACTCAGAGTTTTTTTATAACAAAATATCGAAAATCACAAAGCATCAATGATAAACTTTTTTACCTAACGAAAGAAAGTGATCAATATTGAAATATCTCAATGGAATAAAAGTTAAGATTTATTTTTCTCATTAAAAAACACTCATTATTTCAATGTGTGTGCGTGCGCGTGCATGCATGTATTTGAACGTGTCTGAAATTTAAATAACTACGAAGAACTTTTTAAAATAATTTTCACAGTAGCCACAATCATATAAAAGTAAATGTAATTTGCTTATTTTGTTTATCAGTCAACAGGAAAAAGGCGTTTAAAATCACCGTCGTCAAATTTATATATCCCGTCAAGGTTATCACAAACTGGAAAAACATTACAAACATTTGGTCGGCCATTGGTAAATCTGTCCAGAGAAAATTTGTCAAGCGATTGACCTATTGTTTAAAAACAACCCACCCGTTTGTAACCGAGATGCTCACATAATGCTTCGTAAAATATAATATCAGGTTGTGATTTTACCCTGATTAAAATTCATTCAATACGTTTACGGCGTATAGAACGGTATATACGTGTTTTAATATTGCATGTAATTTGTTAGCTCATGAAGAATAATCATCATTCTCGCTAGATGCAACGGAAGCGAATCTGCTCAAAAGACTTTTTAAATTGTAGGGTATTTTACCAAGTATTTTATAATTTACCTCTTCGGAATATCCCCGATGTTGGTTCAGTCGGTGACGATTTTCGCCGAGCAACCTGGCTACCTTCGCCACGCTTTTTCCAGGCGTGCCTGACAGTCCCTTTTACACGCCAATTACCAAAACCAAGCCAAATACAAAAACAAAAACCCGTTGTTAGTAAAATAAAACAGTAATTTCCAATGATAACTTACTTACTTTCTTGCGTAACTACTACCATTACAAATGTTAATGTAGTCCAGTACATGCTGAAGATATAAAAATGCCTAACCAAGATACAGACCGTCATTAGCCGTTACATCATTGCCCATAATAGAATATAGATACGATAGAAAGGCAATTACATTTGACCAAAAAACTATTTATCGAAAAGTCAATTCATGTAAAACTTTTCATCGAGAAACAATTTATCGATAAGAAAATTCCTTTGAAAAATAATTCCAGCAAAGAGTTTGCGACAGGGTTTCGATTTCTCGGCCGACGAATTAGCGCATGCCCTAGCCGCGATAAGGACAGGGGTCAGATCTAAGGTATGGCCTACTCTAAGCACCGCTTTAATTTCGAAGCGTTGATGCGCGCGCGCACCGTGCAGCTCCGCGATTCCGGCTGCCCGAGCACCAAGCAACCAATTCCAGGCAAAAGGACGTAAGGGTGTGCCCAACCGGCTACTCAATTCCGTGAGGGCCTCTTGGCCCGGCATGGCCCGGCATGGCACGGCACGGTAGAGGTGGTGGCCGCGATTTTAAATTGGGGTAGGTCCGGAATCGGAAAGGTAAAAAAAACACTGACGATGCCGAAGAAAGGCATCGAAAATAACTTGGTGAAATACATCTGGATTTTGGGAAATCGATTAACCCTATTCGTACGCGATTTCCTGATACACGGTATCGTAACGGGTCCGTGGACCCTTTCGAGCTCAAAGACAATCCGTGGAAATATAAGGGATAAACCCGCAAGCGTTACACGGCGAGAAGAGAGAAAGTTAATGTATTTTCCCTAGACGGAGGCTTACGTACCATTCTACGTTAGGTGGATTTGCGAGGAGGAGGTGCTCACTATTCGCGACACGACCCCAAACGGCTCTAATTGCGGCCATCTCGGAACCACGGAGAGGGCCAGGATAAAGCACGAGAGAGCGAGAGGGAGCTCCGAGCTCGTCCTGTCTCGGACACCGGCCCCTTGTAATGTTTCGGGGGCCCGGGAGGCAGCCCACGTGGACGATTCTCGGATTGGCCGGTCTCGACTCCGGAACCGAACATCTTCACCCGTGGTCTCCGCCGCATCCCTTAGAAATACGAGATGGGCCCTTTACCCTGCGAAACTCGCCGCTATACCCTTAGACCTTAGATATTTAGATCTCGCATTGCAATGGAAGGTTTACCCCTTCGAACGTACCACGTAAGTCGACCGCTAATCCACGCAGTTAAAACCATTCCGGTTACTAAAAAATTGAGAATGGGAGATCCAATGCGAGGTCTAGATATACATTCGGCGCGAAACTCTACCGAATTTCTTAATATGATCTAAGGCTAAACCTCACAACTCCGGCCGTTCTCTAGGTCTGCTGGGTAACTGCGGGGGTACACTACCGGGGCTCGCCTCTGGATTCTGTTCACGACTTCATCCGGAGATTCTCACGGACGAAACGCAAGCTAGTTCAGCGATGGATCCTGAACATCGATCGTGATCTCGGTAAGCCAATAGGTCAAGTCCCACTTCCTTGCGCAATCGGGTCCGCGCCCGGGTCACAGGGCACTTGCGCGCTACCATGATAAATAAATTATTTCTTTTTATAAAAAAGTCACTTTTGCATTTCAGAGAACTAATGGAAATGGGGGTCGGTCAGACGCGAACATTCTTTCCTTCGTGGGAAAGACATGGGCCCATGAATATGTCTTATGGCGTCTTTAGCCCGTACAATCCACATGGGCCCACGTCTTTCCCACGAGGGAAAGAATGTACGAGTATTCTTTTCTTTTTAAATTCCCTGTATCTTCAATCGATTCCGCAATTTTATTTTCCTTTTTGAAATTTTCTAACACGTTCGGCTGATTTACGTTTCTTCTCTTCAGTTGAATCCGTAGTTTCCGATTTCGTACGTAGAAAGACCATCTTTTTCTTGATCTGTCGTGCTCGAAGAACATGAGGCATTTATAAGAAACTGATTAAATTGTTCCTGTTCCTTTCCGTCACGTATACATTTAAGACATTCTTGTTGTCGCTCGACTGCAGATTTCGAAGGCGAAGCCGAATTTTTAATCAGGTCGTTAGATAGTTACCGGTTACATACTGCAACGTGTAACAAAATCAATTGGACACGATACCATGTCAATAATTACGCGTAACTAAGTCTGCAACCATGTGAGTAAATTGGCTCCCGGTGCAGCTGCAACGATGCAAGTGACGTTAATGTTAGAAAAATTCAGCGGTACGCATTGCAAATAGCCGCGTCTCGGAAGCCGGGAACACGAAACGTCCCAAAGCGAACTGGCCATTACCATCATGGCCATCATGGGGACCACTCGACTACGGATCCGCGCCATATCGCTTTATCGTTAATAGCAAGTTATTTCCGTGGTTAGCAACCGCAGTACCGAACCTGTCGGGCCCTTCCCATACGAATACGAGCTGGATGTCCTGAATTGTTTCAAACTCTACCACGTGGGCATGGAGAACCTAGGTCCCGATACCCATGAAATGTCAATTTTTTTAATTTTGTTAAACATTTTTAAAAATATGTATACAAAAATGAAATTTCATGGACATCGGGATGTTCTTAGGGCTTCCACCTGTATGGGGTAAAATTTTAAACGAATCAATACATCAAGTTTGCAGAAAAGTTACATGAACGATTCATCTCTCAAATGTCACTCTTACGTCGCTTTAAGTATTTTTAATTGAGTTTTATGAATATACTCTATTTAAAGAAAAATATTACTTTACTGTAAATATTATCCCGTGGGTCAAAACAATCTTGTAATTATTCGTTTTGAATCAGTTGATGGGCAATGGTGTGCTCGTTGACTGAACAATATCTTACGTAATTAACAAAATTGACAATACTGCCATGCATTCGTTAGCATGCAAAATATCACTATTATTCCATTAGTAATGCTCATCGATACAAAGCAATGTATGGCAATGTACCGTTGAAGGATCTTCAATTTGAGCATAATTAATATAACGATGTCTTCGGCTTCCTTTGTATACTGGTGGAAACAAATGTCTTCCCTGCTACGATATAGGATTACCAGTGCATGATAGGAAGATATTCATATCCGCTAGTGAACACGCTTCCTGTTTGACTATCACTAAATCTATCGACAATGCATACCCTCGTTACCAATACCATTTAAAAACAGCTATTTACCTACTGGTGGTAGGTTTAGTGTCAAATTAATATGTAAACCACGCAAGGCAACTGTCAACTGACTGACCTTTTTTGACAGTCTCCTAGCCGCTGCTAGAAGACTAACATTAGACATTCTGGAAAGAAGCGTGTTCATGGTGTACAATATATTACAGTATGTTCGCAATAAGCCAACAGGTACAAGCCATACATTAGAAATTGCTTTTAACCAAAACAAATGTTGTAAAACATTGCTTCTGCGTTCAATTATTGTAACAATATTTTACAAGGTTTCGTATATACAATAAACAAAACGTAAAAATAAACCCGAGAAAGCTCAATATTTAGCAATCGAAGTTCATACTTAGCATCGGAGTTAACGGTATCATTCAATAAAGCTACTGACACTTTGACAGTATATAAATGTCATGCTGAACTGAACATTTCAGTAAGAAATTGCATACGTCTATAAATGAATGTAATTGATCCAAGACTTACCTCTTCTTTAGCTTCAAGAAGATTCCGAACGAGTAGAACGATTCTTGGCAAAAGTATTGCCCTACAATCCACATTTAAAAAAAGTGGACTGTGTACAATGTCGTTTATTGTCATCATTTTCTGTTTAGTTAACCTTCCTGGGGGTAGCGTGACTAATAAATCCGTTAGTATTGTACTCAGTTGTTTTCCACTATACACTCGCAGTAAATGTGGTACCGTTGTCGGTAAATACTTAAGACATGCTCCTTGCACTAATAGAGTTCCATCGGTCTCGTGACTCATTAGATCAACGATAGATCTGAGTAGGTCCGTTAAAGTCTGAGAAAATTCTTCTTCGTCCTCATCCAATCTGCCGTTCATAACCAGGCAAATAATGAAATAACAATATCATGTCACGGTATGCAATAAACCGGAAATGGTATATAATTATATGTAACACTTACGCCGTGAACAATAATCGAGATTCGACAATGAATCTCATACAGTATTGCAAACTCTTCATAGTTCTTAATAATAAGTCTCGCTCTTGCACATCATTCGTACAGGCGCTAACTATGCGTTTTCGTAAAACGACGATCAATTTCTTATATGCCAAAGTCGCCGAAAAGCTTTCTGATATGTACAAATCCAATACTGGCTGAAAGTGCTGGTATTTTCTATCGGACACCAATCCAATTATATACAATAAACATTCGAAAACCATGTCATCGAACACATCGCTATCTGAATTACACATTAATATATTGAATAAAGCATCTAGGACATCCTGAAAAGAAAAATTAATCGTGATAGTTATATTATGAGAGTGATAGCTTCGATGAAAACTAATTTGACACATTTAACACGGCAATTTTCATTTCACTTTCAAACTTGAAATCTCGTCCCAAATAACTAAAAAAGGATACGTTTAATCGCGTATAATGAGTAAAAGGTGGCACATAGAATGCGGAACTACTTACTTGTAAAAATTTCACAATTTCCTCTCCGTCAACTTTCATTAAGGCTGCCAAAGAGTCTTTTAAATCCGTTTTACATGATGCCCAATTTAATAAACCTAACAAGTCCACATTTTGCGTCAATTTAGTGGAGCAAATATTGGTTACTATTAAGAAATTATCTTTAGAACTCAAAGTCAGCGGACCTCTTGACGGTTTCTTTTCACCATGGAGCTCTAGCTAAAAATAGACATCACATAATTACATGCCTAAACGTAAAAATGGTAACATTTTTTCTACAATTCCCAACGAGATATCTTACCAGTTCTCCTCGAGTAGAGGGTAAGCTCAAATACGTTGCTTCATTTTCTTCGTACTTTTTGTGATCTAATTTATAAACTAATAATTCGTGTTGAATGTCCTGAAGCGTTGTTCCATTGCGTTGCATCAATCTAACATAACTTAGAGCAAACGGTTTTTCGAATTTGTCCTTGGCTTCATTTGAACTACGATGCTTGAAAGTAAATTTCAGATGAGCCTGTTTAAACTCTTCTATTGGCACGGCTATTTTAAAGGTCTCGCACCATCTTGGCTTATCTTCGTGATAATATATAACACTACGATATTCGTCTATCAAGGCTGCTCCACCACCTAGTGTCATCATCCCTGGTATTGGAACCCCATGCTCGTTGCAAACTTTTACCTACATAAAGAAATAAACATCATACACTGCCATTATTGTAGTCTACTCGACATGAAATAGATGAAATATTCAAGTGTAATGATACAGTAAGTCCGTTCATTAAATGTTTCACCGTAGGCTTCATTATGATAAATGAAATACATGTAGGACGAAATTCACAACGATCTTTTTAAATAAGAGTTGTTAAGTAATTGACTTTTAGAAAGTTGCAAATGTCGTGAAGAAGTATAAATTTGCCCCATCGAGATGTAATACCACGGAAATGGCAATAGCAATAGTAATTCAATGTTCAAGAAAAATTCACTACATAATTATAAAGTGTTGGAAAGTTACTACACATTTATAGTGTATACCTAATACCCTTTGTATGAATATGAACATTCCCTATGAGAACTCGCGGAAAAGTCGAGGCCAGGTAGACCAACCGGAGGTGATTGCTGGTAATTTGCTGCTCTAAAGTCAGAACCTAGCGATGACAAAGTCTCGCATTAACAATGCGTATAATTTCTACATGTACTTTTTTCCTATTTAGAATATATTGTATCGCTACCTATCAAATACGCTAAACATGTATGTACATGTACATACGAGGGTAATTACCCTCTCGGTTTTAGATACTGAACCACCCCGGGGCGTATTCAAGAAATATTTGATAATGCTCATTTTTCAAAGTTCACTCCCAAATTAAAAGCACCTACCTGTAGAAAATTATTTATGAAGCTTATTACTTAAAAATTATAATTAATCATTATACATATATCATAGCGCACGGCTGTACATACTAACCGTTACTTCAACATTTTTATCGGTAGATTTAGATCCTTTGCTGAACTCTCCAGATATCAACGTAAGATATAGATCGTTCCTCACATCTCCTGGTAAAATTACTTCTGGAAATCCCATTTTACGTGCGATAGCCACATTACCTAGTACTAAATGCGGATATTCTTCACGTACCTATAATAGTAATAGCTTACAACAACACTAATGAAATGTTAAAGGGTAGCAGTTCCCGTTCTCTTAAGATACACACTTGTTTAGTATCACCCATAAGTAGTTTCAAGCTAGCCCACAAGCCCTGACCTCCAGCAACGTTTCCGCAATTCCCACTATTACTTTTCTGGCTGTTTGTTTCCTTTTGGGAAATAATTCTGCGTAACGTTCCATCCAGACTCTCCTTCTCACAGCATCTGAATCCAAACAAAACTAAACCAACAAAACATCCCTCGATCTTTGCGGAAAAAGCCTATTAAATACCCTGAGAATACAAAAACTTACCCGACCTCGAAAAAAGCTCGGTTAAAGTAATATCGTTTAAAAATAACCAAGTAATGGTCAAAACTACTCAAGTAATCAAAATGTAAAATGTACAACTGAATTACCGCAATGGCTAAAAGGACAAACAATTGGAATGATATCTGCAATAATTGTTTTTATAGTTCTAACGATAGTTTTAGACGCGAGCAATGGTAACATAATGGTTACAATTATATATTTCTGCACGTACGATAAGGTTGTAAAGATATAAATCATGTCAATTGGAATTATTTATGTCGTAATTCTTATGGCAAACTGTAAATAAAGTTCACAATAAAACATTAAACTGTGGTATCCCGGGATCGCGATGTTTGCAAATTCCTATTATATTGACATGTTTTTACGAGTTGTAGCATAAATAACGATGGTACAAATTCAGAATTTCCCTATATTAGAGATGTACTGTTTTAAAACGGTATCTAACCTCCGTCGTAGACAGTCCATTGCAACATTGGGCATTGAAAAACTTTAACGTTAACATAGTCCTAAAATAATATCTTCTGCAAGACTGACAACTTACTTAGTTCCGAATAGTTAAGAGCGTTTTCATTGAGCGAAATCTTGATGTACTTAATTTCAGTTACTGATTATACCAAATAGTACTTACTGCAAAAACGGAATGAAATGATGATGCTCAACATCGCCCTCTAGTTTCCCTGTAATATACAACGTAATGTCCATCGCGGCGACGCCGAATGGCCTCCGCATGTCGTCAACATTTTTGGGCTTTTGATTATTCTGTACAATGCTCGATCTTCTGTGATCGACCTCTTTCGCGTCCATGCCTCCAACCCTAATGGCAAAGCATACTAAATATACTTTATCTCTGGACAGATCCCTAGATCCAAGGTCGGTGAACAACACCCTCAAATTATGCAACTGATCGATGTCTTTGGCAAGGCCCTCCTTGCTCCAAAATACAACGTAGTTCTCAGTGATCGCTTTCATTTCTTTGCCGTCGTACAGGGTTAGCAGCAGTTCCACATCTTCGGCCATTTTGCAGACAAAATTTCTTACGCTGATGAAAAATATATGCGAGTATATAGGCGTTCTGGGCTTATTGTGCTTCCTTCTGGTTTCCGTTGTTGCCTTTCTTATTCTTTCGGCCCCTGTCTCGTGATAATGGTAAAGTTGAACGGCACTCGTTTCCTCGGGATTTAATATATTTCCCTGTTCGTCACGAACCACCATATCCAAACCTAAAAGTTGATTTCCAGTATCTATTCTGGCAGTTGCCAACCTCTTCACATCTTTCAATTCATCGACCGTCAACGTTCCGCTTAGGATTTTACTTCTGTATTCTATCAGTTCCAAGATTTCTTGTTGAATGGGCAAGAAATGCTTCGAGTGTGTCTGCAAACATTACCCTACTTTATAGTTAAACAATCTTTTATTCAGAGTGGACAAGATTCATTATTACATGTACAAAACAATAGAGAATTCCTTTAAACCCTATTTCTGTTTTATTCCATTGAATATCTTATTTACCGCAACCCAGTACAAGTTTTATCTCTTTAGTAATCATTATTTATCTTTTATTTTTAGATAGTTCATGTGATGTAAAAGTGGCATCAAAGAGGTCCCATTTAGGGAACATTTCTCCGAACTAGGTGTACCGAATTGTGTCAAACTGTAAAATGTGAATGTGGAAAAGTTCTGATACTTGTTATGAGACACGTCGCTCGACGCAGCGCCAAGGCACGGACGACCCGACGTGCCAGTTAGTTACACGAACGGCCACAAGGAGGCGACGGCGAAGTCGCGCTTTCCAAACGCGAGAGGAACCGCGATGCAGATATAGGGACGTCCTAACACTATAAAACAGGGAAACTTCGGGGTACCGATCATGCTTTTGTATTGGGACGAACTCCAGGGCAGATCTCAGCTCCGATTGCGGGCCCGCAGACTATTGTAACTTACTACGAGCGACTTACTATAAAGCGAGACGGATTTGATACGGTTCGAATTGATAATTGTAACTTACACGATAGAAAAAGTAGCGATTTTAGTTTAACGTGTGCGCTCCCCGAAGAGATGACTTACATTTACCTAATCGGATATTACGTTTCTTTGTAGCTCCACGAAGGAGGCAGCAGCGGCTCATTGGCTAAATATATCGTTAAGTGTTCATAATTAACATTTGAACCGATTCGGTACATTCAGTTCGGAGACAAATTTCCTAAACGATTGCCTCCTCAGATTCCCCTTTTACATCTTAAGTTAGAAACAATTTAAAGAAGTTTGTGATTAAATCTTTTCGTACGGAAACGTTTCATTACGCAATTATTGTACGTGCCATTTGACGAAATATCCGCTCAATGTTCCTAAACAATGTGTACATGTTATATAAATGTTCAGTATACTGACCACGTATAAGTGCTTCCAATGATGGCCCCATTCTCTCAGTACATTGGTTATTTCATACGTTAAAGCTTCCGTGTTTCTGTTCAGGGGTAGAACACGAACGTAGGATTTCGGAAAAATCCCATACTCTCCTTTGTATTTACTGCTTCCATAGTACCAATCATCGCACTCTTCTAATAACTGAACGACTTCGCCAATAGTTAACCGCAATCGATGTGGACCATCTTGTCCAAAATTGTGGACAGCTGTTAAAAAAAATAACTAGCCATAATAGTACGGCCTCAATAATTTCCACTTTCATCGTAAATGTTGTCCATAATGTAAAGGGAAGGTTAATTTAAACATCTCGAGAATGTAACGTCGCGTCATTAAGATGATGTGAGAAGCACCAAGAATTTTAATCGACGTCAGTAAGAAGGAATTATGTTAGACTTTCTGAAACTGCGTACCATGTTACCGACATTTATATTTATCCGGCTATTTTGCACTTTACAATGCGAATTATACAAAATTGAATACTTCGTATGTTATTTCGGTATAGAAAAATTATGAAGACATCGAAGTAACATTCAAATTTCCTGCATTCGTGACTTTTAATAGTTTTGTAGGGAATAGTTTCCCCAACCTAGTCCAACTCAGCGAAGTGGGGAACGGATAGAGAGGCGCGAGGCCAGACGAACAGTGGCGCCACAATAACGGTCTACGGAACCTCCCTACCGGCCTGTTCGGGTACAACACGTGTACCTTGTATTTCGGTAAACGTCTCGATGTTCGGTTCAGTATCGTCCCAATAAGTCCTGCTAATTACGCAAAGCAAACCTGCGTTCCACCGGTATCACATCCATACCCTGCGACACAGGAGGGACGACCAGCCTGCAGTAAGCGACCAGAAATATTTCCATCGCTTAAAATCTGATCAATTATTGCACTGTCTGTGTATTCAACGGTAACTGATGTTTTGTTTCAAAAGCAGTTACAACGATGAATGCAGATGTAGCCTAAGATGCTATTGGGTTAGGTCGGGACGTGGCATAGCGAAATATGAGCCAAGAAAGCTTCTCTGAGCCACGCACCCGCGGACACCACTGCCGCTCGTCTTTCCCCTCTGATATCCACTGTGAAGAAGACGGAAGTGGATTTTTGCCAGCAGTCTCCAGCCCCAAGAATTTGCCCATTTTAAGGGCATATGGACTGCGATCGGCGGTCACCGACCCGAAGGGGAGAACAATGACATTTGAGATCTAAGTCATTTTGTGTCTTCTGCTTGCAGGTACAAAAAGTCTTCGATCCGTTTTGTGAGGACGATCCTACGCTCGCAACTGCGATTCGCAAGACCGACCTCTCATCGACAAACCTACGCCCTTTATCGACCGAAATGTGGATCAAGTAGCGGACTCACTTTCCCGATCCCAAAAGGCACCAGCCGGATTTCACCGTCCATCTCGATATTTCCTGCCTTCCCTCGTCCGTCCCCGCAGACTCCAGGTTCACTCGCGCACAGCACTTCACTACAGTATCACCGGGCGCGAAACGACACTTGTCGCGAAGTCTAAGTAGGCCTTCCCTGAGGCTCGATCGTCGCTCAAAGCTCATGCGACGGCTTAATACCATTTGGGGGGTCGGATTGCAACGGTTTCTCGTCGAGGTCCTCGCGACCTCTCCCCGTCGTCGCGCCCGCTCCCTTCCGGGCCCCGCGGTGTCACGGAGCCTCGCAGAAGTCCAATAGAGGTAGTACCTCGGATTCGTTCTCGGAGTGCTAGCTTCTCGCAAGGCGCCCTTACCGACTGCGAGCTGGGCGCTAACCGCTCAACGCGGAATCAGCGGGACAGGGCGGGACCCACATTCGCTCTGCTCCCACGGGACCAAAAAGTAAGAAACACGTGTATTTTTATTTTTACCCGTTTTCATATTTAGGGGGTGAAATAACCCCTCAAAGTTCATAAAAAGAGGTATACAAATTCTTAGTTTATAGCATAACGAGTTGAGTAAAGTTTGTTGTAAATTTAATATACATCATAACTTGCTTGGTATATAATGTTCTTATCGGAAAACGTCGATCACATCGCCCTCGTTGATCGTTGGTCGTCGTCAATCGGTCGAGTCGATCGTCGTTCTTCTTCTCGTCTTCGTGCACTTCGGGCACCTTTCTCAGCCGGCTTCGTTCTTCGTCGAAGCAAGTACGACTCTTTTTCCGGAACCACTTCCATTGGCACTTTTCCTCCTATTATTCCGTACTATCCGAGATCACAATAGCTACTCTTCTTCCGTACCGCTTGAGATGCCAATGGTCACTACTTACGCACCACTCGAGATGTCAATACTTCTATACCATTCGAAATGACAATGGCGACTACTATCTCTATAGGTTAACTATCACTAGGCATTGCCATATTTCCTTCGTGGAAACCTTGGCTAATCCTTCAGATGTTCCCTAATCTAAAAAGTTCAATGAATATTTCTGTACAAATTGATCCCATTTACACAATTTCAATATTACTTAATAAACCCAAAACAAACGACTCGTAAATATGAGCTACATCGATTGAAAACTACAATATGAGCTAAGGGTTCGGTATAAAATATTTTGGTAGTCTTCAGAATTTACACCTGTTTAACGCTAGAACTACCGGTGGATTTTTTTTCTATAGGATGGGCCATTTGAAACCAGTCATTTTAACTGGTCTTGGTAGTTCTAGTGTTAAGTATCAGTCATAATGTACAATTGTTATGAAAAATATGTAAGAGAGCATCGTTTGTGTTCAAACTAATACATATGCTAATTCTTACATTCCTATGTCGAGACTGATTTGATATTTACAAGATTCTGAAATCTTGAACCACAAACGGTTAAACAATACATTTCCAATCACATTAACCTTCACGAATAGTAAACAAGGGTTAATATTTAATGCTTCTATCATATCTTGATAGTCACCGGCAATTTTAAACATTTATACGGTACTGCAAAATGTAGCACCTTCGTCAGGTGATTCTTATGGATAAGTTATCAAACATAATTATCGTCGACTTGGCTAAGTTTACCTACAAAAAAGAAGTAATAAATTCAATAATGGCATGTTAACGACTTAGTCCAATTATGTGGCACAAACGAGTAAAATAGAAAATTCAATCTTACTTTTACTATTAACCTTTAGCGCTCCGTTGGCTCCGCTATGAAGATATCCATCATAACGTTTCAAAACTTGCGGAGCGCTAAGGATTAACCTTGTAACACACGGAAATGGATTCACATATCGATTACTATTTATCACGAAACTTAATCAATCTACCAGTTCCTTGATACACTTTGTAATTCACAATGTAAATTATCATTATGTTTAATATGAACTAAATGTATTGATATTTCTCTCCACAATTGCCTTTTACTCCGCTAATTTGGCACGAAATGTTTAGTCTCTTCCCATTTTGAATAGCTACTTTCACAAAGCTTTTAAAAAATTAAAGAATTTGCTTCTTACTTAAAGTTTTACTGTTTCTACAAAGCTTTTGATAGTGATATAAATGTGTTTTAATAAATAATTATGTTTTGATGTTTTGCCATATCGCACCAAAACAAAATTACGGACGTTATACGAAATTGTCAATTATTGAAAATAATCGTCTGTCACTTTATCTCGCATTACAAAATGAAACCGTTCATATGTTAACGTATACTCAGTCAATTGTACTAAATGAAACATGTTTATTGAAACGACTCATATTTTCGGAAAAACACGGAAAAGATGACGTTAATGAAACGTTTGACCAATGAAACATCGGCTGATCGAGAGCTGAGTAAAAACATTACGTTACACACGTGACATGATACACTAGAGTACTAAAGGGAACCTCCCAGGATGTAAGATCTTGTCTGATAGTTGATAATAGACCAAAAAATAATATCCTACCGACACCAAGATGTTCCTGTACTCTCCTCCATTTTCCGATCATGCTAACTGACCATTTAACACCTACGTTCCTATGTATATACACTTATCACATCACAATTCGCATGAGAATTATGCGAAGAACTTATGAAACATCCACCTTGTCGTTCACACGACTGTCCGAGAAACACATGAAACAGATTGGTCCAGCCAATGAAGGTGCATGCACATAGAGATGCACCTCTCGAAGAGGGATTCAAGATGTCCTTGGTGCCAGAACTTGCTACAGAGGGCGTCACCTGGTCGATAACTGGGACGGTCCTGCACCCAGCTACGACACTGGCCGCCAGAGGCGCATAGATCGCGGGTCGTTCCGAAACCACGCACGGACCAGGACGGAGCATATCCGAACACATCCAGCAACGGCCGCGAGGCGGCGTGACGATCGCCGCAAAGAACCAATCAAGAGTATACAAGAAACTGTCCGCGCATAGAGTTCGGAAATTCTCGATAACATTAAATTGGAGAAGGTAACTGTGAAACATACCGTAAGTTACCGGGAACATTGAGAATTTAAGAGAACGTTAATTTTGTTATTTATACTTTAGGTTTCTTCGTTTATATAACTTTTTTTTTTCAATCAACTTCAAAGTTCAAGCGAAAGAGTAATAATTACTATGGAAAATATTGATTATAGGGTCGTATTTACCTCCAGCTAAAAATATTCACGTATGTACAACTTCACGGAAAATTCCATGCGATTTGTTTTAAACGAACTGATATTTCATTCTGCGACGGAGCGAATGGGAGGTTTTGATTGGCTACGGAGAACGTATGTACAACGGAAATTCCTCTCTACGATGTTTCTCTATAGCTAATCGAAACCTCTCGTCGCTCTGTTGAAAAATTCAAATTCTCATAATTTCTCGATAAAAAAGGCTTTGGAGAAATTACCGATAAGTTACCGGGAATTTCTCTTCGTTTCTGACGTAACTTACTGGATTTAGAACTCTAGTCTTGTGCTGCCTACCTGGTGGAGAATGCGGACGGCTAACGCATTTGCCACCTGTTACCCCTCAGTGGCGGCGCAACACATTTCTGGTGGGGGCTAACGCAATCGCGATAGCAGATACAGGGTTTGAAGCATTTGTGAGGGGTCCATGACTTTTTCAGCCGGTTTTCGGGCTGCCTAGCCGTCGGTGAATTTTTTCTACACTTGCGACCACAATAGCTCGACGTGGAAGATTGTTCTCTTCAAATTGATCTCTCAGGCGAGTGGCTGCGATTTTTTTCAGCGGAGATACGCGTTTTTAGGAGTTTTTGGCGATTTGAGTAGTTTCTAGACGTTCCTAGGCGTAGCAGCCTTCCCGAAATCCTCTTCGCTATGCGTTCCTTTGGGGAGCGCCATTGGTTGGCTGTGTTTCACTTAGTTACTACTGGTTAGTACAGGAAATTTATGCACTGCAGGAAAAAACATGTACATTTAGTAAAAATACATACATGTATGTTCGTATACAGCTAGTATAGGTATAGTTGACTCATTAATCTATGTATATCTCCAAGTTATACGTATACTATGCATCAAAATACTTCCATACCCTTATGAAGATTTATTATCAAAAAATGTACAGATATAATACACGTGATTCGGTATTCCAGTATATGAACATGTACGCACATTCAACATACGTAATCGATACATATATTTTTCGTATATTAATTACATATACGTACAGTAGTCACATTAGCGTAAAGTATACGTATATTATATGTGGGTGTATTGTGTTGGTAATTGATAATACTATCTCAAGATATAATTATTAGGCCAATATTATATTAAACTTTTACCAATATTCATTGCTACAGGGGTTTGCGTTTAACGTATTAGTAAGTGGCAATTAAATGAAAAATAATTGCCGTTGCAGTAGTAATGGAAAGATGTAGGGAATCTGCAAAGTGGAGAATATATTGTTAAATCATAGAGAAAGAAGATATTTTACATTGGAAGAGAAGATGTTAAGTAACGTATGTACATACATACGTGGTTCTGTGATATGATTTCAATAATTTTTTTACAGAAACTTAATGTAATAGAGGAAATAGTGATTTTTGGAAAGGAGATGCGTCGCAGCCTTGTATTTGGAAATGTTTCATTACGCAGAAGTGTATATGAGAGTGTGCATTAGACCGGACAAATTTGCACGGTGATTTCAAATACTACGGATGTTCGATGAAGCGCAATTGAACTTTTAGTGTACATAGGTGTACATACAACAGTCTCTTACAGCCACGCTGGTACATAATGTACGCGCGGTATATACACTGTTAAAAAAATTCATAAAATTCATACACTTGTGGTACATATGGTTGCAGTAAAATTATAAATTTGATATCTTAACAGTGAATTAGTATACATTTATTATAAAATTCTAAGTAAATTTACAATTTTATAACACCGTGTTGGAATTTTGTGAAATTGCATAGAAAAATTATAAATGTAATGTTCGAAAGTCATTTAGTACGCATTGTTTGCGCATTTTTTAGATGAGTGTTTAACTTTATGATCGTTTACATGAGTTTATTTTTAAAGAAACTTAATCGAGAGATGACGAGTATCGGTGGGACTGGAGAAGCATTGTAGCGACATTCTTGAGTCCGAGAAAAATTTCAATAATATTTAAAAAAATTCTTACAATCAACAGAAAACTACGATAGCATCATGGACAACGTACCTGCTATTTTTCCGTGAGTTCCTGGTTCGATACCACGATAATTTCAAAAAGATTTTGTTCAGCGTTTAAGGTAGGGTTGTCTCTAAAATCGTCCACGAACGTGTCAGGAACATACGTCGAATTTGTTCGTTTGCAGCAAAAACATTTAATATCAAGTACCGATCAACACAAATTTAAAACATATATTATAAATCTATTACACATATGTACTAAATTTATAACATGTTATACATTTTATTTGAAAATATGTTATAAAATTAGTATACCGTGTCTGAATAAAACTTCCAACAAATACGTTATAAAATTCTAATCTTTTTTTAATATTGTATGCAAAGATAACGTAAATAAACTCGGCCCAGAACCTCTCATTTTTGTAATGGAATATCACAAACGGAGAATCGTGAAAAATTGCACGAAAGAGAGTTCGATTTTATTCCCAACGGAAATTCGCCTTGGGAATAAACCCAAGGGATGTTGAACATCCCTCTACATAATCCCGCGGATGATAGAGCACACGGCGCGTTTAATTAGAGGTTCGTTGTATCTTTGTCACGTTTTGATCAGTCCGGATATCCGGGCGAGCCAAGAACGGTCCCCTTTCGCCGCGAAGGGAGGCGGGGCGGCCGGCAGCGCCGAAAAAGGTCCGAAGGAAAGAGGGGAAAAACGCCAGACAAGGGGAGGAGAAAGGAGCAAATAGAACGGAAGATATAAGAACCGGACCTTAACGGTTTCGATTTGTCGGATCGGGAAAGTTTTCCGAGGAACCTCTTTAGCCGTACCCACGGCTTTCCGTCAACTCGGATTAGTTAACATATAGATTAAAGCTTAACGATACAATCAATTCGGGAAATTCAATTCAATTCCGTAAGAAAGTCTTTAGTGTTGGGGTAAACATTTCGGCGAAAGTGAGCAGCGGTAAATAGGGGTAGAGGAAGAAGTGTAATAGTGGGAAATGAAAGGGGGGTTCGGAGCGACGCGAGTGCGCGCGCACCCGAGCCCCGCCGCTGGCTGCCAGACGCCTGCATATATGTATGCGGCCGGCGCGTACGGCCGCGCGTGTGTCCGACCGTGCGTGTTTGTCACTAGTGTGACAACCCGAGAGAGACGAAAAGAGGCGCGGTGCGGGCGCGGGAAACGATGATATCGGCTCGACCGAGGAGCGAAGGGCGCGGCGGGCCGGCGAGCAGGCGCCGCGTATAGGGGTATTTGCCCCAAAAAGTTGGCCGACATTGTTTTTTATATTAAAATCGCTTAAAACCATGTAATTTGATTAAATATCGCGTTATATGACAACTATGCACGTCAATTTCAAATAAAATGCAGGGTTTATATCTGTGTAGGTATGAACTGTGGAGGTTATATTTTCGATCAATACAAAACTATTAAATTATGCGGTTGATAACATCTATATTTTTTCATGGGATATGTCTTCAGCGTTATATGGAATTATTTATCTTCCTGACATGTATCTGGTTTTGGTTCTTTAGGAAGAAACATTTCTATCGTTTGTTTTAAAAATGGATTCGTTTTCTTTTTTGAAACGGATTGTATGCCTGTTATCAAAATCAAAAGTGGGCAACGATCTATTTATTATGTAAACACTCCAGAAGTGTTCCCGTTCAGATAACGTCAGTGACACATTGTTCGTCAAGGGGAGAATATAGGCATTTGTAGGACACGTGTGAAGTCTGCAGCACGAGGTGGAGACGGAGCGAGTGCATACAAATACTTATGTTCTCGGTTAGATGAACAATATACGTAGAGAAATTTACTTTATATTGCTTAGTAACTGCAAAGCTGTCTGGCGAATTATATTCATAGCATCCAATGACGCCCACGTTACATGAAATTCTGCTCCAGGAATCCGTTGTTGAAAAAACTTTCCTAAATTATGTTAAAAACTTAACCTACTGCTGAAGAATCATCGGCGCCAACCGAATAATTTAATACATTTATGTATTGATCGATAATATTAAATTTATACCAACACAGACGTAAACCATGTATTTTATTTGAAATTCGTGTCATAATTGTCATATAACGTGTTATTTAAGTAAATAACATGGGTTCAAGCAATTTTAATTGAACAAATAATGTTGGCCAACTTTTTGGGGCAAATATCTCTATGTGCGCCGGGGTGCATGGGCGCCAGACGACGAGAGAGATGTAGAGAGCCGAAGCACAGCCGACTTCACAGCGGCCCGATCAATTGCGGAAGGAGAGGTGGTCCGGCGGTTTCGTGTTTACAATGGAGGACCTTGTGATTGCATTCTTATATATACAGGATGTAACAGAAATGTTGGTCACGGTTCAGACAGCGCTATCCTTGTTGAAAAGGGAATTGAAAAGTCCTGTACTATTTTGTCCTACGGTGCATAACTTACTTGTAATAACTAATTGAAGCACGGCCTATCAATCGCATTCTCCAACGGAA